AAGAGCAAACAAAATCTCTTGGTTTCAACCTTATTCAATTGGGCCTTATTCCAATAGCCTCAGAACTATAGTAACACTAAGAAATATACAAAAAGATATCAGCACTTTCAACACCTAACAAGGCCATCAAGCTGTCTACGTGCCCACACACTCTATGTGGGACTAGACTATCATCCCCTTCCGTCACTCATTCAGCCACACGCAAATGAACTGATCTTAAGGCTGCATGGCCTTTTGTTAAAGGGCTGAGATTTTACCAAGATACTGGCATGTTAGCCTGGTGCTCTACCACCCCACCCCCACTTAACAGATCTGGACCAGAGAACAGCTGCCCAGGATCAGCTCTGCTAAAGTTTTAGGCACAGACTAAAATAGAAGAGCCAGCAAGTTGCCAGGTGCTCAGGTCTGTAATCCCAGCACTTTGGGAAGCCGAGGCAGGAGGGTCATGAGGTCATGAGTTCGTGACCATTCTGGCCAACATGGTGAAACCCCGTCTCTACTAAAAACACAAAAATTAGCTGGGCATGGTGGCATGCACCTGTAATTCCAGCTACTCAGGAGGCTGAGGCAGGAGAATCGCTTGAACCCAGGAGGCAGAGGTTGCAGTGAGCCAAGATCAGGCCATCGCACTCCAGCCTGGGTGACAGAGTGAGACTCTGTCTCAAAAAAATAATAATAAAATAAAATAAAAACAAGCCAGCAAATCACAAGTGATTGCTGGACAAAATGTAAACCTCTTCTTAAAAAACACATATAAAGCATCACCAAGACAATTTCTCTTTATTTAATATAAAGGCAAGATCTAGATAACTTCTCGACAGCTAAGTTTTAATAATCCCCCAGCACTCCAGTAAGAGAATCAAAGTATAAACTAGGTCATCCTGTGAAATCTCCCAAGGCCCACAACCAGAGTGTAATCTCAGGATTAAAACCTGCTACAAGCCCCAGAGAGCTTGCTGCCTCCACAATAAGCACTACTGCACTCAAGAAGCAACAAAAGTCTGACCCATATTAATTGTGTTGTTCAAAACATTTCAGGACAAACACAGTAAACACTTCTCTCTAGCCTACCAAACCCAGATATTCCAGTTAGCAAAAACAACTCCTATCACATCAGCCTCACAGTTTCTCCCCCTCTCCTCCCGATCCAGTACCTGGTAGACAAAGCAAATAGTAGGTGCTTGGCAACCATATAGGAACTTGACATCAATGACATGCAGCTCCTCCAGACGGATGTTGAAGGCCTTGAGTTCTTTATTATCGCGATCTAGTGGAATAACCTTGAAAAGGCCATCATAGAGACGCAGGCCAATCATCCGGCACTCAGGGTCAATGATGCCAATAATGCCGGTCTCCGAGGGGCGGCCAATGCGGTCCTGAGAAACAAAATTGGGATTAGGGAAGAACCTCAACATCCACAGAGCAACAGAGGACACTGGGCACCACTTGCAAAGAAAAACTTTAGGAGAGGAAGTAAAACTAATGGATCTATTTGATAGGCCAAATAGTTGGAGCCCCAATGTCAGTGCATGTCTTTTTCACGAAACACTGAATCTCAACGAATTATTGCTCTGTCCCTTGGGCCTTGAGTGAACTAAAGGAGTCTTTTCTCCAAAAAGCTCAAACCCATAGTGTCTTCTCCTCGTTTCTCTGATCAAATAGCGAGCTGCCCCCAGCATTTTAATTTTTTTCCATGAATCATGACAGTCCTACTTAGAAAACTTTTGTCAGCCTAAAGCAGCCACCTCACCTGGACATTGCCATGGGCTCGTGTAATGATGTCAATGCTCTCGCCACTCTGCTTATACTCCAGGATGCAGGCATTGTACTTCGCTGTCAAGATAAACAGCAGGTCCTTGCTCTCCCCCTGGAAACCAATGTTATGCTATCAAAAGAGATTCTTTTTAAAACAGGAACAACCTGTCTAGTCTTTAAGCACACCAAATTCTTTAAGAATTTTCCAAATTCTTCTCTCCCTAAAGAGAAAATACATGGTGAGCTTGTAACCCACACTAGGTACACATACACCCTAAGGGCACGTACAAAAAGCCAGAACTGAAGCTGGTAAACAACTATTTCTCACTTTCATTATTCTCCATCTCTCTGTTCTATATACAAAGTCTTCATCTATTTCAATCTCAAGCTAATCTCAATCATCCCATTCAAATTCTGAAACATGAATGTAATGCCTCCACTCCTCTCCAAGTATTTGAAGAAAAAGAAAAAAAAAATGTGGGAATAACAACGGAAGTTAAAATGGATCAACAAAGTCTTACTTATTTAACACAGACTCCAAAAAATTACTGTTTTGTTCAAAGGGTTATAATTAAAATTCTGAACCCACTGCTTTCTTGCCAGATTCAGTTAGGACATCATAAAGGAATGTAGTGGTGATTTGGGTGAATACATTTGCACTAAAATAATAAAAATACTGATGGTAATTGCTTTTTTGTTGTTGTTGTTTGGTTCTTTTTTTTTTTTTTTTTTGAGACGGAGTCTCATTCTGTCACCCAGGCTGGAGTGCAATGGGCACCATCTCCGCTCACTGCAACCTCCGCCTCCTGGGTTCAAGCAATTCTTGTGCCTCAGCCTGCCAAGTAGCTGGGATTACAGGCGCATGCCACCACATCTGGCTAA